TCACGATTTCTTAAAGAGGCCAAAATATTTTCTCCATTTGTTTACCATGATGTTGAGACTTTGGGAAGAGGCATTTAAAAATTCTTAAAAAATTCCCTGAAAAAATTAAAAAACTCCACTGTTTACTCTATTAAAAATAAATATAGTTTAAATACTTATATTTTTTTCGTCTATTATTTCATAGCTTTACGTAATTGTTTATTTTTCCATGTCCTTCTAAAACTCATTTTTATACATTTATTCTATTTAAATTTAGTATCTCAAATATTATTATATTATTAACTATTATCTGTTTTTTTATCTAGTTCTCTTGCTGTTAAAATAAAATTTTTTTTTAAGTGATTATTAATAACTTAAAAATAAAAAATAAATATTTTTTTAAATAAAATTTTATATTTTATTCCTTAATCATGAAAATAAAATCAGGCCCGTACGGAGGTACTTTGCCAGGATTTTAGTATTGCACCACTTTTCCACTTGTAGGATGGTTTTGTATTTTACATGGACCTTTCCTCCTCTTCCCAGTATTCAAAAATCTTGACGCTTTTTAACTGGGAAGCCAATTTTTTTATATTAAGCTATCGCTTATGCCCTATGCTGAAGGGCAAGACAAGGCAGTATTATTCAAAAGGATAAGGTACTCGCAAGTGATTACCAACTCATTCATTTTTCATTCATTAATTCATCACTTACGGCTGATAATCACCATTCACAGGTGAAGAGGATTAAATAATGATAACTTAATGATTAAAAATAATGCCCAAATTATGAATTAAACAAAAAAAACTCAAAATACTTATTAGTTTTTTGATTATGATAAGACTTATACTCTAATATTTTAATAACTTAAAAATAAAAAAAATAAAATAATTTTTATTAAATAAATTTTATATTTTATCTAATCATGAAAATAAAATAGCACGTACGGAGTATTTAGCAGGATTTAGTATTGCAACGTAGATGGGATTAATGGACCGTCAAAATCTTGACATTTATGGGAAGCAATTAAAGTAGATATGCCCTAAGGAAGGGCAGAAAGGTTTTAAAGTTTGGTACTCCCAAGGAACAACATCATCATCATTAATTCATCACCTACGGCGATATCACCATCACAGGTAAGAGGATAAATAATGATAACTTATGAATTAAAATAATGCCAAATTATGAATTAAAACAAAAAAAACTCAAAAATACTTATTAGTTTTTTGTGCATAAGCTTAGCTCTCACAACTTAGTATTTAGGTAAAAATCTTTTAAAAATGATAACTTATGGGCTTTTTTTAATTATTTTTAATATTATAATCAAATAGTGAAAAATAAGTTATTTAAATTTAAAAATATTATTTTTTGTGAAAATTATTTTAAAGGAAAATTATTTTCCAGAAATTTTTTTGCGGTGGTCATGATGACTGGCAGTGGCTATTTTGATTAACAAATCAAAAAATATATAATAAATTTATAATGTTGAAAAAAAATTTTTTTTCTCTTGAAAACGTAAAATCATTTTCCATAAAATGACTTAGTTTTTTTGGACCACTAAAAAAATATTTTTCGTTAATTTATTTTTTTAAATGCCTCAAATAACGAAAAATTATAAAAAATATTTCCTTGTATATTATTTTGTAAAAACAAACGGAGCCTTAAAGTAAACATCTTTCAACCATGTTAAACAAGGATTTTTCAGTTTTGATATATTTAATATATATATATATATATAGTGTTTTTTAGCTAGCCTAGTGTTTAAGTCGCCAGTATTTAATGTCTGAAAAAATATTTTATGAAATGTCAATTACTAAAACTGCGAATTTTCCAAAATTTGCAAATTTTTCTAATTTTGTCTAATAGTACTTAATATTTTAATTTTTTTTTTTTGATAAAGAAAAGAGCCAAGTAAGATTTTGAATCTTTAACATAACACTATTATTGATTCAATCCTCAATTATAATACGTATACATTAATTTATAATTAATTTTCATTTAAAAATTAAAAATGATTATTTTCTTTTATTATTATATTGTTTTAAAAAAAATATCGATACTTTTATGTGTATCAAACATTTAAAAAGAACAAAAAATTAATAAGGACCCACCTAAGGAGAGACGTTAAACGGCGGGTTCATATCGTCTGATCTGACGCTGTAGTGCCTTCTCTCTCTATCTGGTGTTATATAAAAGGAGAGGCATTCAGCCTCTGCAAGAACCCTCACCATCATCATCATTATCTCTCTCTCTTTCCTCTAGCCATTTCTTGGGATGACAAAATCTCATTTAATGGCTATTGCTTAGATTCTTCTTCTTCCTCCTTTATCTCTCTCTCTCTTCTTTAACTTTCTTTTGATATACTAGCATACAAGACTCTGTCTGCTACTGTTGTTTACTACTTTTGGGTATAGAAGAGGAGAGAGATGGCTAAGTCTATCACTCTTGAAGAGATCAAGAATGAAACTGTTGATCTGGTATATATCTTTATATATTTGTATACTTTTTTTCTCTTGTTTTTCTTTAATTTATATATGTTCAATTTGATTGATTTTCTTCATGTTTCTTGTGCATGTACAATGAGATCTCTAATGGGTTTGTTTCAGTTTCTTCAACTTATGATTTTTTGTTTCTCTGTTCGGTTCAGATCAGTTAAAAATGGCAGATTTTCTTTCCAAATTTTGATCTAAAAATTAAAATCTTAACATATTTGCTGATTCACATGAACTTCTTTTTTACCTTTAAGAATTGAAAGAAAATGAAATCTATCTATAAAGTTAATTCTCTAATGCTTTCTTTGTGGACCTTAGTTAACTTTAACAATTCTGTTTCGGTTTCATCTATTTTCTCTCTACCCAAACAGACCAAATTGTTTTAAGTAATATTCTGAAACTGGATCTTCTCATGTGAAAGAAAGAAAGAAAGTAAGAGAGAGAAAGATCATGACAGATAAGGATAGTTGGCTTTGCTTTATCTTTCTCCTCAGTTTTAAATGTCCGTCTCTTGTTTTTATTTTTCCTTTTTCTACGTATGCGTATCTATCTATATATGAAAATTTTTTATTATAACTTGGTAACTATTTATTTTCTAGATTATAGAGTTTAAGTTTAATTTAAATTGTAATATTCTTTAATTAATTAGGGATTAAAATTTCTAATTGTCTTTTAAAATTAGGGATTAAAGTGAATATTTATCCTACAGAGCGGAGAACTAGACGCCTTAGTACTTTATTGTTTAAGAATTTCCTGGATGTATATCATTCATCGTACGTTCAGTGCATATTTTTTCAGTTGAAAAATAATTTATTATTATTATTATTATTTTTTTAAGGAAGCTTTATTAGATTTACGAAGGTCTAATTTTAGAAAAATTCACAAATATATTAATGTTATTAATATTATTTTGAATTCATAAGGAAAATTATAAAGAAAGAAACGGAAGTTTGAAGATTTTTTTTTTGGGAAGTTAGATAAAAAAAAGTATTTCCTAATAAAAAAAAGTGCACCTTGTGTTTTTTCCGTTGGTGACTTTGAGAATTTTTTGGTACCAGTCCGTGGTACTTTAGCCTTTTCTCTGCATAAAGAAATAAGCTTTTTGTTTTTAACCGTTTCTTTTTTTAAAAAAAAAAAAAAAAAAAAAGAGATTTTTTGATCCTTGAAGGTCCTGGTACCGTCCGGTTTGGTACTTTACAGCTCTTTTTATTTATCTCTTGCAAATATAAGACTTAATAAGCTTTTTTGTTTTAAGCCTGTTTCTGTTTTTGTTTTTAAAAAAAAAAAAAAGAAAGTTACTCTCATATCTAACACAGTGGACATAAGCCCCTGGATAGTTGGTACCCTTCTTTAGTTTTTTTTATTTCTCGTAATTTCAACCAACAAAATTATTTTTCGTAAGTAGGGCAGACTTCTCTTTTTTTAAAAAAAAAAAAAAAAAAAACTCTCACATTCAACGGTAGTGACATTACTGCTTTTTTGGGATTTTTTTTTTATTTTCTTTAGTTTTTTTATTTCTCGTATTCAACAAAAATATTTTTCGTAAGTTGACAACTTTCTCCCTGATTCTCTTGGAATTTGCACCACATACCAAAATTTACTTTATTAATACCAACTTGCTGCGCGTGGAATACACGAACCACTCACATGGGAAGTTAGTGCAAGTGCTGTCTCATGTGACAGTACCTTTTCCCTGTTTTGGCATGAGTCAACGCTTTTTATGATTGGCTCTTTTATGACAACTCCTCGGTCCGAGTTAAATCTGAGTCGTCTCTTACCAACCTGGTTTGACTCACTAGGGTTATTTATTTTATCTTATGTTATTTGTATCTCCAAGGTGGTATAAGTTCAACCTTATAAAAGAAAGAATTTTATTAACGACTAATTTAAAATTATATTGAGATAAGTTAAAAATTGTTTAAAATTTTTAAATAAAAAACATGCTTATTTTCTTCTAATAATTTCTTCAGGTCTCACTTTGTTATGAAATATAAATAAATACTACCTCTGACCCGTTAGTTTTGACACTTTCTGAATTTTTAAAAGAATTTAGAAAATAATTAAATCATCTCATTTTTAGAAAAAAATAAGAATAATTAACTAAATTACCCTTCAATTACTTATTTATAATTAAGAGAGAAAATTTGATGGAGATATTAAAAAAAAAATAAAGTTGAAATAAAATAATTAGTACATTTTTTCTAAAAATTTTATCCTAAGTGGAACAAAAGTATAAATTTCTTTCTTGTTTTGTCCTATTTATTTAACCAAACAAGGTGTGTTTACATTGGTATTGATGATTAGAGACAAAATGAATTGATTTCTTTGTACTCGAAGTCTAATAGTTGTGTGTCCCGATGAATTGGTCATCAACTCATCAAAATTTGATGATTCTAATTTGGCTGTTTAGACAAAATATAGCTAGATTTTTTATTCTGGACTAAAAAACATCATTGAAAGATAACATGCACAAAAATTAACTAAGATATACTGAGAATTCTAATATCTTGGTAACATTACTTTTTTCAGGAAAGAATTCCCATTGATGAAGTGTTTGAGCAACTGAAATGTACCAGAGAAGGTTTAAGTTCAGAGGAAGGAGCCAACAGGCTTCAGATATTTGGCCCCAACAAACTAGAGGAGAAAAAGGTTGTTATTGATTATCATAATATAAATCTCAACTCATTATCAACTGCCTATACTCAATTCTTTGAAGGCTAATTACTCTATGCTTTTAATCCATATAGGAAAGCAAAATTCTCAAGTTTTTGGGGTTCATGTGGAATCCATTATCATGGGTCATGGAAGCTGCAGCTATTATGGCGATTGCGTTGGCAAATGGTGATGGGAAGCCCCCAGATTGGCAAGACTTTGTCGGTATTATGTGTTTGCTTGTAATCAACTCTACTATCAGTTTCATTGAAGAAAACAATGCTGGAAATGCTGCTGCGGCTCTTATGGCTGGTCTGGCTCCTAAAACTAAGGTAATTTCTAAATTAGCATGTGCCAGCTGAGTAGTTACTTTGTTTATTTATTTGTTTTAAGTTTTAACTTTACCTTATTTAATTGTTTGATTGATTATGTAAAATTTGATGTCTCGTTGACAGTGGAGGAAGTATAAAATGCTACATTTATTAATATCAAAAGGAAAAAAAAAATTATAGCTAAAATTTAGTTGTGTTTTTCAATAGTAATGTAATTTGGTAGTATAATCAACATAGTTTACCATTGGTATATACTTGAATTTTCATTGGAATAATGCGTCTAAGCTCCTCAATAATTCATGTGGTGCATGTTTAGGTGCTTAGAGATGGAAAATGGAGCGAGGAGGAAGCTGCAATTCTTGTTCCAGGAGATATCATTAGCGTCAAATTGGGAGATATCATCCCTGCTGATGCTCGTCTTCTTGAGGGTGATCCCTTGAAGATTGATCAGTCTGCCCTTACTGGAGAATCACTTCCTGTGACAAAGAATCCTGGGGATGAAGTTTTCTCCGGTTCCACTTGCAAACAAGGAGAAATTGAAGCTGTTGTTATAGCCACTGGAGTTCACACTTTCTTTGGGAAGGCTGCGCATCTTGTCGACAGCACCAACCAAGTTGGTCATTTCCAGAAGGTTCTTACTGCTATTGGAAACTTCTGTATTTGTTCCATAGCAGTTGGAATGTTAGTCGAGATCATAGTTATGTACCCAATTCAGCACCGCAAATATAGAGATGGAATAGACAATCTTTTAGTGCTTTTGATCGGAGGTATCCCAATTGCCATGCCAACAGTCTTGTCTGTGACAATGGCTATTGGATCTCACAAGTTATCCCAACAAGGTGCCATTACTAAGAGAATGACTGCCATTGAAGAAATGGCTGGTATGGATGTTCTTTGCAGTGACAAAACTGGGACCTTGACACTCAACAAGCTAAGTATTGACAAAGCATTGATTGAGGTGTTTGCAAAGGGTGTTGAAAAAGATCATGTGATCTTGCTCGCTGCAAGGGCTTCTAGAGTGGAGAATCAGGATGCTATTGATGCTGCCATGGTTGGAATGCTTGCTGACCCGAAAGAGGTAAAGTCAGATTTCTTGAGCATTCTAAAAAGTGAATTTGTGATTATGTGCTTGGCTTAAATTTCATGCATATATATGCAGGCAAGAGCTGGTATAAGAGAGGTGCACTTCTTGCCATTCAATCCAGTGGACAAAAGGACTGCTTTGACTTACATTGATAACAATGGCAACTGGCACCGAGCAAGTAAAGGTGCCCCTGAGCAGGTAACTTCCTAGTCTTAAAGATCATACAACTCAGTTTAACACTTCCTGAGAAATGTCATTTAATTCTTGTTCTGATTGTATATTTGTGTAGATCTTGAGCTTGTGCAATTGTAGGGATGATATCAAGAAGAAAGTTCATGCAGTTATTGATAAATTTGCTGAACGTGGGCTTCGATCATTGGCTGTTGCTAGACAGGTTTTATGTCCTAAACAGAAGTCCCACATTCTTCTATTTTGCTTTCTTTATTTCCATGGAGAAAAGCTCTTACCTCTATTATTTTACCATGTTTGCAGCAAGTACCTGAGAAAACAAAGGAAAGTCCTGGTGGTCCATGGGAGTTTGTTGGTTTGTTGAACCTTTTTGATCCTCCTAGGCATGATAGTGCAGAAACCATCCGCAGGGCTCTCAACCTTGGTGTCAATGTTAAGATGATTACTGGTAAGTCAAGTCATTTATTGATGAATTGCTTGGGAATTAATGCACTTCCTCCACAGCCTCTGTCTCTCTCGAATTTGTTGCTTACTTTACTGTCATCTAATATCCAGGTGATCAGCTGGCCATTGCAAAAGAAACCGGACGAAGACTTGGAATGGGAACAAACATGTACCCATCTGCTTCTTTACTTGGTCAGGACAAGGATGCAAGCATTGCCGCTCTTCCAGTGGAAGAGTTGATTGAGAAGGCAGATGGATTTGCTGGCGTGTTTCCAGGTGGGTAGTTATAAATAAGAAAATAGCCTCATGTAGAACTTGACCTGCTCGGATAATCTGTGCCTTCTATTATGCACTCATTTATTTTTTATCTGCAGAGCACAAATATGAAATTGTGAAGAAGCTGCAAGAAAGAAAACACATTGTTGGAATGACTGGTGATGGTGTCAATGATGCACCAGCTTTGAAGAAGGCAGATATCGGTATTGCTGTTGCTGATGCTACAGATGCTGCACGAAGTGCATCTGATATTGTTCTAACAGAACCTGGATTGAGTGTTATTATCAGCGCCGTGCTTACTAGCAGAGCTATCTTCCAAAGGATGAAGAACTACACTGTTCGTTGCATTCTTCTTTTCTTGTTCACCAAACATATAATTTAGTTCTTTCTTTCAAGTTGTAGCAATTATTGACTTCACTGCTTTACATTTTGCAGATCTATGCCGTTTCCATTACTATTCGTATTGTGGTAAGTAGCTGGTGGCTTTGTACAGAGTAATAATGTGTTTTGCTATTTTACACAATAAATGAATATGATTTGGTGATAATTCCAATTTTGCAGTTCGGTTTTATGCTTATTGCTTTGATCTGGAAGTATGATTTCTCTCCTTTCATGGTTTTGATTATTGCCATCTTAAATGACGGTGAGTTTTCAGTTCATTTACTTGTATATGGTTAGACCAGCGCATAGAATTCCAAGTATTTATCTGATGCAAAATTGGGTGTTTTCCAGGAACAATTATGACCATCTCAAAGGATAGAGTGAAGCCATCACCTTTGCCTGATAGCTGGAAACTAAAAGAGATATTTGCCACCGGAGTTGTGCTTGGTGGTTACTTGGCACTGATGACTGTCATATTCTTCTGGGCTATGCATGATACCGAGTTCTTTTCTGTAAGAGCTAATATTTTTTTTTTTTTTTTTGCCAACTTGTAATTTTAGTAGTGGATCATTCAAAGTTAAGTTTTACTGATATCAAATTTTGTAACTATGCTTTTAAAAAATGCAGGACAAATTTGGAGTAAGATCTTTACGCAACAGTGAAGATGAAATGATGGGTGCTTTGTACCTCCAAGTTAGTATTGTAAGTCAGGCTCTCATTTTCGTTACTAGATCTCGCAGCTGGTCCTATGTTGAACGACCGGGTCTGCTCCTAATGTCTGCTTTCTTAATTGCACAACTGGTATGCTTTCTAATCTCTATTTTAACATCAGAACAAAATTATTTCTGATTATTCACTTTATTTGATAAAGAGGCAAATCTTCATGCTTTAAGAAGCTATCAACTCTTCTTTTCAGGTTGCAACTTTGATTGCTGTATATGCCGACTGGGGTTTCGCAAGGATTAAGGGAATTGGCTGGGGATGGGCTGGTGTTATCTGGATTTACAGTATTGTGTTCTATATTCCACTCGACCTCCTAAAGTTTGCTATTCGTTACATCTTAAGTGGAAAGGCCTGGAACAACTTGCTAGAGAACAAAGTAATTATTCCCTCTTCAGTTTTCCCTACCTAATGAACTTGCATTATGGATTGAGAGATTACAACTTAATTTTACTTTACATTTAACAGACTGCATTCACCACCAAGAAAGATTACGGTAAAGAGGAGAGAGAAGCTCAATGGGCTCTTGCTCAAAGAACTTTACATGGGCTTCAACCACCAGAAACTGCCAGTATCTTTAATGAAAAGAACAGCTACAGAGAGTTGTCCGAAATCGCTGAGCAGGCCAAGAGACGAGCTGAAGTTGCAAGGTGTGTCACCATTCTTTAAACTTATAGCACTTGCTTGCATACTGATACATTGATTGTATTTATTTGGCTGTAATTGGGGTTCAAACAACAGCCTCATATTTCTGGTGACGACTGTTACCACTGAATTAAAACTCATTGATTGTCTATGCTATCATTTCCATTTCAACAGAAATTCCGTTTTTTCCATCACAAATCAATTGACTAACTTCCACCTTTTCCTTTCTCTTTAATCTACTATAATAGGCTTCGGGAGCTTCACACACTCAAAGGACATGTCGAGTCAGTGGTGAAACTGAAGGGTTTGGACATTGACACAATCCAGCAACATTATACAGTGTAAAAATCCTTAAGCCTGCAATAACATTGCTTGAGAAGGAAAGGGCTGCTTTTCAGTGACGAACCGAAGATCAAGAAAGCTAAAAAGGCCAAAATAGTTTAAAGCTTTAGATAGGGAGAGAATGTCTATGCTATAGTTCTCCTAATCTATTTTTCTTTACCTTTCTTTTGTACTTCAACTGCTGGAAGAAAGGCTTCTGTTTACCAACTTCTTGCTCTGTAATGTTACCTTGTCACAGTTTTTGAGTTTTAATTTTACTTCTCTTCTGCCTAATTTCTCATAAGGCTAATGTTTCTACCTATGATCTTCTATTCTGCCTAATTTCTCGTAAGGCTAATGTTTCTACCTATGATCTTCCCTTCTGCCTAATTTCTCGTAAGGCTAATGTTTCTATCTATGATGTCTTCTTTTCTCTCTTTTGTTTTACCTGATTTATTTTCTTTTGTTCTTTACAACGAAAGATCAAGTTCTAAACATACAGATCAATAAGGTTTGCCTGTTTAGTGTCATATTAGTTTTCAATTTTCGGTTTCTGTTCTTCAATAGTAAAAAGCTATAATACAGGAAACAATCTGAACAATAGGAAAAACCACTTCCTATGGTCTTTCAAAAACCAAACAGCTCTAGCATACAAGGATAGGAAGAAACAGACTAGAACAAAAGATAATAAAAAAGACGAGAGAACAAAAAGAGAATAAACCAAAGCTTAAAAGTAAGTTAAAATAATTAAGCAAAGCAGGGTTCATGTGCAATAGAGGAGAAAGACATAAAAAAAATGAGTTGTTTTCTGCTATGCTGTAGGATAAACAATAAGTTTAATGATACCAAGTACCCCAAGAAATAACCCAGGGTTAACAACAATTTTGAAACTCTTAATTTTTTACAGTAAAGAGGAATAAATTATGAAACCTAGAGTGAAATAACCCAGGGTTAACAAAAATTTTGAAATTCTTAATTTTTTACAGTAAACAGAAGAATAAATTATGAAACCTAGAGTCAATCTGACTCCCTAAATAAGAACAAAAAGAAAAGTTTCATGTTCAAAATATTTGATAGTCTATTTGAAATTGGCACATGGCCTCACATGCTTTCTTTGCTTTCCATCCCCATTTGCATTTAGAATCAATAGACCAAATAAATGCCCTCACATGATTATCTCCTAAGACAAGAAATCTATTTTTTTTTTTTATTTGTTTATTACTATTAATATTGTTATTATTTTTGACTTGTTCTTTGATTCTCTTTTTCAGGCCTCTTCTTCTTCATGGCCTTTCCTTTAATTCTAAAAGCTCATATTGGTACTTCATTCAATGGGATATTGTTATAAAATTCAGTATCAAATATCTTGTGATATTTTATTAAATGATAAAAATGGGACGACCAGAAATAATAAAATACAAAAAAGATTGAAACATTATGTATTTGTACAAATGCTTTACCAATGTTACCAATAATCATTACAAGAACATGTACCTTCTTTGAAGTGGTGAAAGCGATTTGTGTCTCTTAGAACAATGATCCTTCCTGTTATTCTTGACACAACCTTGACCCAAGAGTGACAATCTATACAAACACGAAGGTTCTTTGTAATCCTAATTGGCATTCCATCAGCAGTATTTACAAGTGCAAACATAGTTGCAAGACGCTCGCTATGCCCACATACCCACATTGCTTTTGTTTCTTCATTTACATCATGGAGAACAACACTTGTATCAGGGACATAACCAATTTCTTTCATAGCTTCTGACAACTCATTCCAGCTCTTCTTATACTCAACAGAATTACGAAACTCAAAACCCCCACCAGCAACAAAAGTGTGAACTCTATTCTTCACTTGTATCCAACTACATCCAGCCTCTTTCTTAATTCCTCTTATTTGCATTGTCTCTCGAACTTTATTTACAGAGTCCCACATCCCTGCATTTGCATAAATATTTGAGAGTATCACATAATTCCCAGGATTATTTGGCTCCAACTCAAACAATCGCTCTGCTATAGACTCTGCAAAAGAGATATTACCATGGCGGTGGCATGAGTTAAGCAATGATCCCCATATGCTGCCACTTGGTTTCATGGGCATGGTTTTGACTATCTCCATTGCCTCCCCAATTCTTCCAGATCTACCCAATAAATCTACCAAACAAGCATAATGCTCCAAACATGGTGATACCCTAAAATCTTTCTCCATCTTATAAAACAATTTCTTTCCATTCTCTGTAAGCCCAGCATGGCTGCAGCCTGATAATAATGAAATGAAGGTAACCTCATCTGGCTTCATGCCAGATGAAATCATTTCATCAAAGAACTCCATTGCTGCTCTCATGTGGCCATTGATTGCATATCCAGTCAACATAGAGTTCCAAGATGCCAAATCCTTACTTCTCATTCCATCAAACAGCCTCCTTCCATAATCAACCAATCCACATTTCCCATACATGTCAATAAGAGAATTTAACACCAAGATATCCGGTCGTTTTGCTGATTTAATAATTTGTCCATGTAACTCTTTCCCACTATTAAGGACAGTCAACCTTGCGCAAATTGGTAAAATTGTCGTAATAGTAACCCAAGTAAATTCCACTCTCTCACTTTGCATCATCTTCCTAAACAAATCAAGTGCCTCAAACAATTTATCTTGCCTAGAAAAACCTGAAATCAAAGAATTCCAAGAAACAACATTTCTTTGAGGCATTTCATCGAACATCTTCAAAACATCATTTAAACACCCAAATTGCCCGTATAAACTTAAAACAGCATTATTCACCACCTGATCAGGCTCTTCACTAGACTTTATAACCTGACCATGAACACCTCTACCGATCCTTAAATCGTTCAAATTTACACAGGCTTTTAACGCTACAGAAAACGAAAAGTTACCCGGTTGTACATTATGCCACAACATGTCAATATAAACAAGCAATGCCTCCCTAAAACGCTTATTTTTCAAATACCCAATTGCCAATGCCACCCAAACTGACTCAGGCGCGCCTTCATTATCAAATCCATTGTCAAAAATACTGCGTGCGTCTTCAAGACGGCTGCAAATTGAGAAAAGGGTAATGAGTTTGCTCTTTAAAGTGGGATTTTGAATGAGGTTATGTCCGTTTTGGTATTTTGATAGGTTTTGCAGATGCTGATAGATTCTTTGTCCGTGATATAATGATTTATGGGAAATACAGGCATGGAGAAGGAGAACATATGTCTCAGGATCAGTATACTTGGCTGGTGAAGATTCAATGCGACGAATTGCCTCGTCGAGATTGAAGGATTTGGGGAGAGATTTTAGGGTGTGATTAAGGAAAGGTTTTTGGGGTTTGGGAGATTTGGGACCTGAAATTACAGCTGCTTCGATTGGGCGGGTAGTGCCGCCTAAGAGGGAAATGGCGGGAATCATTATCAGAATTTGCAACGCCTGTAGTTGGACTTGGGTGTCCTACGTAGTCCAGACTCCGGTCCGGAGGATATTTAATAAAAAAACGTATAAATAATTAAACAAAATTTAAAAACCACATTTATAAATAGGTATTATTTTCACTTTCAATTTATTTTCATATAAATATAATATAAAAACTAATTTTGTGTAATACATAAAAAGCAAATCATATTTTACAACCTTTCACAAAAATCCTATTATACAAATTGTATTCTATCCTCTAATATTGAATTCGTCTTAAAGAATTCAAATTTTACTAGACGTTAATCAATTTATGGATCACGAATATACAATGATTAAATCATTATTAGTTTCGATTTAAATACATAAATTCACTATTGTGCTCTATTTAAAAAATATTATAGCACTCTCAATTTTTATTTTGATCTATTGAGTATTTCAATTTATAAATTTATACCAATTAAATACTTTAATTGTAAAAATTATTCCGTTGAATACTCAAACTTCTAAAATTATATCAATTAAACACTTATTAGATAGTTGAAAAATATTATTTTAAAGATTATATTGATCACACATTAAGTGAATATCTTCCATATAAATGCCAAAAACACACACAAAAAAAAAATATTATTGCTAATATAGAGAGGGATACAATTTTAGTAAAATTCGTAACTTCAGGAGCATAACAAGTCGCTCATAAAATTTAAGATGTTACAAGATCTGTAAAGTATATGGGTATTTTTATGCATTCGACCTATTAATTTCGTTCTAGAACATTAAAATATGAAAATTGAAGCTTCAATTCTACCCTAATAGTTATGGAGTCTCGTCTTTACCGCTTTCTATTAGTTCAGACGAGACTATATATAAATTTAGGTCCATGAGACAAAATGAAATAGGCCAGATTAAGAATTAATTGAGGTTTTTATATAATTTTTTATTAAATTATTTTTTTAATAAAAAAGATAATTTATTATAATTACCAATTGCAATCAAATAAAATTCACCAATAGAAACTTAATAAAATAAAATAAAATAATTATAATTGTTTTTTTTTTTTTTTTAAAATTTTCAATTCAACTTTTGAAACCTTGCCAAAAACGGCCTCTTGAAACACCCCCAATTACATGAAGTAATTCAACCAAAATACTTGAGGGTCACATGCCAAATTTTAAACATCAAGGAAAGAAGATACGGTAAGATAAGCATTAAAAACCAGAAGTTTAATAAAAGGCAAACATGAAAATTAATACCTTGTGCGTCTTTTTTTTTTTATATCTAGCAGGCACAATAGGGATATGATTGTAAATTGTCATTTAGTTGTACAATTTTTTTTTTTTTTTGGAATTTTCAACTTTTGAAACCTTGCAAACGCCTCTTGAAACACCCCCAATACATGAAGATAATTCAACCAAAATACTTGAGGGTCACATGCAAATTTTAAACATCAAGGAAAAGAAGATACGTAAGATAAGCATAAACCAAGAAGTTTAATAAAGGCAAACCATGAAAATAATACCTTGTGGTCTTTTTTTTTTTATATGTAGAGGCACAATTAGGGATATGATTGTAATTGTCATTTAGTTGTACAATCCTATGTTATCTATAAACAATAAGTCTGAGAAAAGACTTTATAGACCTGCCAAGAGAATGGAGTTGCCACTCGATTAAAATCTGGTAAAGAAATTAGATACAAGCCTAGATAGGACTAAGCATACTTCGGTTAAACCTATTGAGTCAACTAGTTCGGTTTCATATTTTAACACATATTTAATTTTATTATGTCAAAACCGAAATTTTTTAAATTTGATTCGATTTTCATGAAATTCAAAAAATAAGTTTAAATCATGAAAAAAAGCTAAAAACTGCTCGTGTTCGATTTGGTCTATTTATACTATATCGTCCAATTTGAAATTCATTTCAAAATTTTAGTTTGCTCGGTTTGGATCAGTTAACCAAATCAACCGTTTGCATACCCTTAGGCTTGAAAGTTGTTGGGCACTGGAATTAACCTGTTTAAATGTGAGGCTGGCTTCCACTATTTTAATTGGAACTTTTAAAAAATTTTAATTAGGTCAATTTTTATTAATTATGTAACATTTAAAACTTATTTATCCAACATACATATTATAATAAATCAAACAACATAAATTAAACAAATGTAATAATAAAAATTGTTCCTCCAACCTACATTAGGGATGTGCATAGTTCTTGGAGGATCCAAACCCAACCAAAAAAGCCGTACTGAATCAAATTGAAATTGAAAAAAAACTGAGATAAGAATAGCTGAGTCGTACCAAACTGAATGCAATTTATTATTTTGGTTCTTATAAAGAACCATACTAGAATCGCACTAGAATCAAATTGAATTTGAAAAACAGATTTATACATAAATCTTTTCTTTAATATTATAGTATATTATGTTATTTGTAGCAGGCATCAAATTTTATTATTTGAAAACAAAATCTTCATTAGTTTGTACTATTTATTATTATTACTAATTATGAAGTATAAATTAAAACTATTTAGTCCAAATAAAAAATTAATATCTAATGATTCTCATCATCTGTTATTACATATAATATTTTAACAATATGATAATTCATATATGTTTATTTAGTTTTTACTATATCTATAATTTACCCAAAAAATATTCTAATTATAAGTGGCACATTGTTAATTTTCATAAATGTTTATATAGTTTTGACCATTATTTTTTAATTTCTATCCTATTATGGTTTGATTCCTTTTCTTTTAATTAGCATATCTTGTAATTTTATTTTGATATTAGAATATATTTTTATATAAAGGAATATTGTGATGTGTTTTAAAAATATAAAAATTTCTAAGAGGGAAAACGAAACAGGAATCAGAACTAGAACAAAAAAACCAAAGAATCGGATCAAAATCCTAATTCTTCATTCCTTTGGTTTTGGTTTCTAAAATTGAAAGAAGCAAATCTTTTGTTTAGTTCCAATTTCTCTTAAGAACCGTATTGGAACCGGATTTGAATAACCCTAGCTTACATGACAGGGTGAAAATAAAAATTAGATAGGAGGTGTTGTGCCAAGATGGATATTTTACTGACATAAAAAAGAATTATGATTTGTCAACCAATGATTATTTATTTCTAGTGGACAGAAAAATTAAAATTACTATAATAGCCTTGCAATCGATGTCCTTGTGTCATAGATTGAGGGCTTCAATTAACGATGAGAGATTAGGGTTACAAATAATAAAAATTGAAAGAGGGGAATAGAGAGGCCAACTTGTTCTTCGTTGAAGATGGAAAATAGGTGTGCAAATGTAGGAAACCTTGTATCATTCGAACTTTTTGGACGGACTGAAACCTAGGAAGAAGATTATATGTTGTGCTTCAAGAGCTGTAAGTTTTCCACTTTGTATAAATATAACATGAGTGTTGCGTTTGGGTTTATGGCGATTCAATTGAGCATAGGCGAGGCAGAGTGCGGGTTGCGAGTCCTTTTCACTTGTTTTCGTTCATTTCCTTTTACATTTAGCATTCCTTTTGCAATTCTTTTATTAGAACTATAAATCCCTTCTCTTTTCTCTTACACCTCCTTATTTTCTTCGTCTAATCACTTTTCTTTGACATTCTTTTTCATTTGTTTCTAGGAAAAATTCTTATAAGAGGTGCAAACGGGAAAAACTCTATTTCAGATAGAATTATGCTGCTATTCTGTTAGTTTTTATGTAACTGCAGATTCTTCAACTCTTAATTTCCCATGTAATCTCTGATTTCAGCTACTACTTGGTTGTTTATGGTCTATGGTTTTGTTTTTATTTTTTTTGTTTTTTTTTTGTTATTTAATTTTGCGTTTTTAGTATAATAATCTGGTTTCTTAGTGTTGAAGAGTGATTTGCTTAGCAAAAAGTAAATTTGACTCTCAATTGGAGATTGTTTTATGTCTATTGTGGCTGAATTTATTTAATTCATTCATATTCTTTTACACCTTTCTCTTTTTTCTTCTTTTTATTTGTCACTAAATTGTGGATTTGAGGGATAGTGTATCTGAGGAGCTTTGATTAAAGCACAAATTAGGAGACTTGAATTTTACTTTATTGTATGCTTTTCCACATCAAGAAAATATCCATCTTGGTATAACACCTTTCGTGTTATTTATATTTTTGATTTTCTATGTAAGGTGTAGACACCTCATTTAAAATATTTTTTAAATTTAATCACTTGATTTCAAATGTTTTCGTTCAAATATCAAAATAGAAAATTTAAAAAATTGAACCTCAAATTTATAATTAAACCTTAAAATTAATGCTCCTATTTATAAGAAAACTGACAACCAAAATAAGTTTAACAGGCTACGATATATCTAATATATCTCCTTCCCACGATATCAACCTGTCAATCTCTTCATCGTCATGAATTTTTAACTGAATCAATCCATACTCAATATCCTTAGACGACATGATTAAGTGGAAAAAAAAGACTTGTTACCAGAGGAATAATACTATCATAACTGGAAATCATGATTAAATAGAAAAAACGCCTTTCAGTGACCGACGGTTAATAATTCTATCGCTAAATATAAAATAGCAACCAACTAGTGATAACTACAAACTGTTGCACAAAGCCTTGTCGCTAAAAATTCAGCGACTGATTAACAATTCCATCGATAATTAGTGACTAATATTTTCGTCACTGTATTTTATAAATCGTCGCTAAACATGTTTTATAAATCACCTAAAAATTAGTCACTATGTGGTTGCTGATTAGGCTATCGTCAAATGGTCACTAATCTATAGCTAATTTTGTCACTAAACTGTCGCTAAATCGATATCTGATATCTTTTTTCAATTATTTTGGTCAGTTGCCAATCCATTGCTAATCTATCACTAAAACTTATAATAAAAATAATAAAAATTAAAAATTTGAAAAATAAAAACTTTTCACTCGTTAAAAAAAGCAATATATAATATTAATTGAAATCATTCATATAAATTCATGTCACCAATGAGCAAAATACTAAAATACCATTAAAATATATAGAATACTAATGTGCATAAAATTTTAGTTATAATATAGTATGTACAAAATAAACATAAAGCATAAGAAAAAAGAAGTATAATATGGCGAACCATAAAGATCTGTAGGAGTCTGAGAAACAGATAAGTCAGGCGGAGTGGAAGAAGCTAGCGGATCAGAGTGAGCTATTGGGGTAGGAAGAGTTGGCGGTGCACTAGGTCGGTCTCGAGCATACATATCCATTAGCTGTTGCAACATAAGCTGTGTAATTTGCTGCAGTTGCACCTAAAGCTCAACTCGTAAATCCAGGATCTGTAGCACCCATTGCGGGTCTCGAACGATGAAAAATGGATGTCACATTTAGTGCTGGAGGCACCATTCTAAGCTACATATTCAAATCTTATATGCTGAAGATATGAATAATTTTTTATGTTTTTCCTTTGTGTTTGGAGTCTAACAAGTCTACCAAGTCCATTGTTTTACTTAGAAAATAAATTGGAAAAATTCATCAGAAAAATTACAAGGGTCTCCCCTAAAAATTCGACTTAACTAACAACCTATATTACAAGAAAACACTTCTCAATCCAATCTTAACAATTCATCAACTCTAATAATCAAATCTAGATCAAGATACTTCAATATCAATTGATCATTAACATTAAATTTTATATGATATCCACACATGATTCCATATAACATTTTTAACTGAAATCTATAATATAATATTCATTCATCATACAAGATTCTAAGTCATAATACATAATCTTCTTAAGATGCAAGTTAATACATAAATCTCAAATTAGATGTAATTTCCAATATTTCAAATATGTCATATCTAATAAATAAACTAAAACAGAATAAGCTATATCCACCAACATAAAGTATGTGGTTCTAGAGCTGGATCTGAACTCCAAATAGCACTTCCAAGTCTACAACTTATTTGTGATAAATATCGACGCGTTGAGTATAAAATTCAGTGGTGCTAAAAAATCTGAAACATCCAATGTTGGGATGGCAACATTCATATATATAACCATCCATTCATGCTCATAATCATAAATTCATTTAGCATAAAATTATTATTTCACATATAGTCATATCAAACATATTAAATTATAAATTTTCAAAATCAAATCAAAGATCATCATTTAGCATGTGAATTTATAATTATAGACTAAAAGCATAACGTATAAATCAATAAGGCATATGGCACATGAATAGCGTAAGCCCAAGTGTATGAGTATAAACTTATTAAAGCATATGTCATACATTATTAGCTTAGCTTAGTAATCAATCTCTTTTCTTTTTAAACTTATGGGGTTCATATACACTTTGCAGAAAAATAAAACAAATTAGATTTTAGAGGCAGAGGACTATAAAACATCCAAACAGAATAGAGGGCTTAAAAGCCAATCAGAATAAATAGAGCACGTCCGCTCGCTCATACAGAGGGCACTCACGTGTCAAGCATATGATCATAGTTATATCTAGATAATCAAAGTAAGACCATTATGTTGAGCATGTTCATAATAGAATAAATCTCAATCATGCAAAAAATTCACACCAAGTATACTAAGAGCCCAAAACTTGTTTTCTTTTCTTAAAACCATATAATGTCTCATACATCATTTCCTTCATTTACTTATACATTATCATAAGAGGTTCTTAACTTAAAACTCATAATGGCAGTAGAAGTTATGTTTTTTCATGAAAGCTTGTCGTAAGAAAATGTTTTGACATATATGCAACTATCCTCGTACAAATCACATATTTCTCATATTATTCAACCAAAATGTCATTTAAAATGCTTAGAAGTATAAATATATACTAAGTATGCATATACTCAACCATACACACAATTTTTCCAAGTTTTCATGTCATAGAAAAAATTACGTCATAAAAGTAATTTTAGCCATAAAAGCTTTATATTTCACATTCAACTCATTCAAAACACCTCATAAGCATAGATAAACATCACCATACTCAAGGCTTACTTGTACTTATTTGTTTTTCCAAAAATCTCTATGACTTAGGTCATAGTAAAATTCATCATTTGCATACATTTAGGCAATATAACATCCTCTCAACTTCTACCATGCATTCCAATTACTTGATAAACATCACATAGCAATTTAAGAGTAAAAGAAGTATGATGTAACTAAGTCATAAGGTATGGTCATCATATGTCCTTAACAAGCATGGATCTTTCTCCCAATTAATTATACTATAATCATTTTCAAGATTCTATTATAGTATCTATGCAATTACTTCACATAAACTCACTCGACATGGCAAAATCTCAACTTCAAAGTAATAGAAAAATGCTTATAATTTAGGATTTAGAAAAGATAAATTCATCAAACTCTAATTACATGCTTAAAATCATTTATTTAAGAGAAACACATTAATTAAAACAAAATGAGCCTAAGGGTATAGTCACCCTAGGTTCGACCAAAAAAGGGAGATGGGAAGGGGAACTTTTCTTTTATCAAAATCAAGGTAGTTTATAAATCATGTTAAAGATCAAATTCGCTATTTTTCAAATGGAAAAAACCATAATACTTGTCCCCAAGTACTTCAAATAAACTCATAAAAAAGTTATATAATTTATGTGACAAAAAATGTGATTTTTCACAAGATCAATTTGTCTTTTACATTTAAATCAACACAAGCCTTAATTATATACCTAGGAGCATAGCTAAACTCCAAACATACAATAACTCAAACAATTTCTCAAAATTTTCACTTTTTAAAATCATTGGAAAATACATGTAATATATATAATTTTTACCATAAAAATTTTCTTCTTCTCATTTAACTCACTCATAGGAAAATAAATGTAAGACTATCCTTTCCAAGCGAGCAAGATATAAATATGCTTTGTCTATCTCTAACTACATTATTTAGAAAAATGAAATGACAATTGATAATTGAAATTGTGTAGAGTTACGTGGGTAAATAGGAACGCTTGTAAATTCAAATTTCATTACTTGGAAAATGTAAAGAAATTATAGAGTTGTCCATGTTTTTAAGGTTGTCAAGGTTAATCTTCGTGTTTGCACTTTTGTCTTATGGAGCTTCTTCCACTTATTCCATCACTATGAGCTCTATTAATTTCAACGCTGAGAGACTCTATTTTCTTTTCTTTTTTTTTTAATATCAGGGGAGATGATTCAAATCTGGATAAATGCATCTATCCAGGGGTGGCATCAGGTTATATAAAGTGGGTCAATTGACTCCACTCAAATTTTAAAAAATATTTTGTAAAATAAGGTTAAATTGATAAAAAATTAAAAAATATATATATTAAATGAAAAATTTTAAATTTTTTAAGTGATCCTACTAAAAATAAAATTAAATACCACTGAAAATATTTTCTAACTCCATTACAGCATCTATCACTACGCTATCGTATTTTGTGAAAATGAAAAATTAGACTAGATATTTTTGCGAAGAAGAAAAAAAAGATGTGTTGCAATTCTTGAAACTTCGGTCCAGCCATTATGGTTGAACCACGTGGCCAAATCCTAATCATGAAAGGATAAAACCAATTAGTTCCTTCTTTATTCCTCAGAAAATCTCAGTAACCAGAGAGGCTTCTGCATTTCAAAGAAGAAACGTAATAGGAAAACTCAACCATAATAATTCAACAAAAGGTATCAGTTAGAATATGTCTATAGCTTCATCCCAACAAAGCTTCCTTACCAACGCCCTTACCTCACTAATTCAAAAGCCCAAAACAAAGCTACCAATTATTAATAGTATCTCCACCGTCTCATGTAGGCAATTACAAGATGACCATAATGATTCTCGCAGGTAATTTTGTTGTTAATTAACGTAATTCTTTGAATTCTTTAATGGGATTGCTCTGTTTTTTTCTTATCTTTCTTGGGATTCAGGGATTGTTTATTTATTACTAAAGATTGTGTTTTTGGGCACTGACTGAATTGCAGGGGAGGAAATGAGAATCAACTGGCAAAGTTAGCAATAGTGACATTGGCTGCTGGTGTGCTTACACTTGGTTCTGTTGGTGATGCATCAGCTGCCAAATCTGGTGGTAGAGTTGGTGGTCAAGCTTTCAGGTCATCAACTCCTAGGTCATCCCCTAGAATTAATAATAGCTCGAGGTATACAGAGAAAATATTTTTAACTGCACTATTTTTGGTGACCCATTTTTGGAACTCTTTATAGGTGCAAAGTATTATTGCATTGATGTTCTTTTATCTATTGTTACTTGTCTGGTACAAATGAACTTGGAAGATAACATTTATTCATAATAGATTCTGCTTACTTATGTTAATTCATTATGTATGTTAAGTTTCATAATAGTGAAATGAACTTCTTTTCTTAGTTTCTTTGGTAGAATAAAGTGAAATGAACTAATGAACTACACTCTTACCAACTAATGAATTCCATGAAATTTTATAGACTTCATTTGTACCTAGATAATCATCAGTGTGATTGCATGCATTTCGAAGTCTTGATTGCTTTTATCTCAAATTGTTAGGTTTGAGTTACTTAATAGTTGTTATATCTCAAATTGAATGGAGGACTGTACCTTGTTGCCAATTGCATTTGGATTTATGAATTTGTTTATCAATTTAAAGTAGAAATTGGTGATTAGATTGAGATAGCAGGGGCTAAAACTTATTTGAAACACATCACTTTTAAACCTAAAACTTTTTGGCGATTTTATTCGAGAAATTAATTTTGCTCATATCCAAATCCATGAATCTAAATGCAGCGTAAGAAAAGAAAAGGTTTTGCTTAATGAAAGATTTACAAGATAAACTTGGCAATTTGAGATGAGATTATGTTCTGACTTTAAAAGAAAGGCAAAGTTCCTAGTTTAGGATATTCTACTTTGCTTTCCAGCAGGAAATGAAATGACAACAGATGAACGTGGAGTTGGGTTACTGTTTAACCAGTATTCTATAGTGGTTTGTATTAGATATCTATACACTTGCCTCTGTAAGACTATTAACCAAAGAAAACCTTTAGAGAACAAATATTGTTTCTACTTGACATGAGGCATAAACTAGGTGTCCTGCAAAACTATGCTTCATGGATTTGGTATTATCTGTTTACTGTGACAAGTATTTAGAAGGTTCAGCCAATACTTTGTTTTACTTTTGTTTGGATCACTATCATGAGGAAAAATTCCCCTTTCCTTTGCTCTTCAAATTATTCCTTTTTGGATTATAACTTTCTGTTAAGCAGTTTACCATGTTTTTTCTTTTTGAGTGAACTTACCATGTATTTGCGTTGCTCATTAATGATGTAATTTGGTCATTTTCTCTTGGTAGGACCAACATTTACGTCAATCCACCAATAGCTCCACCTTTAGTGGGTGGTTATGGGTATGGTTATGGTGTGCCATTCTATGGTGGTTGGGGCTGGTCGCCATTTTCGTTCTTTGCACCAGGTCCTAGTGTTGCTATTGGCATCGGAGGCGGCTTTGATACTTTGGTGCTCTTCGTGGTTATTGGTGCTATTGCCGCAGTGATCAGGAAATTCATTGGATCAAGAGATGAAGATGAGTACCAGTAATGGGAAAAAACTAAGTTTTCTTTATATTATCAAACAGTAGGTGTAAAATGTTTTTTAAGTGACCATAACACGTTCTAAGCTGGTCATTGTTGTAATTCAGAATATTATTGTAACATGTACCATGTAATGTAAGTATGATAATATAGAAAAAAACTTTGAACAGTTCTGCTAGTCATATCAGTCAAACTTGTGTTTATGAGAAGTGAAATTTGTTGCAGATAAACTTGAACAGAGAGATTGTGATAGCAGTAGGAACCAGAAAGGACTATTGTCATAACCAATTAATGTTTATCCACGGTTGCGATTTTGATCTCCCTGACGAGAAATCTAAGCCTCCCTCCAAATCCAATGGAGAATCCTTGCTCTGGGAATGGTAGGTTGATACAGGATTTCTTAGGGATGGAAATTATAATAAAACTACAGTGATTTCTTGATGGGATTACCACCATTCCACTAGATCCCATTGCAATCCTGAACCGGTGATGTTTTAGAACTAAGAGCCATAGAGACTCGTAAGAAAATGAAAAATGGAAAGGAAAAGAAATAAATTAGTGAATCCAATTGTCTGAGCCTCCTGCATCCTAACTTCTGGGGCAAAATTTTTGAGCCCCTAAATGAAGTTATGAAATTGATATGATAATTTTTTTAAGAATTAGAATGCAAGAAAGAGTGGTTTATATTTGAACCCAGATCGAGAATTTCTCATCAGAAAATTGGAGTTTTTCTTTTCTTTTTTTTCTTTTTCTTTTTTTTTTTTTTTTTTTTTTTTATAGGAGGAACTCGTTAAAGAAAATGAAAAATGGAAAGGAAAAGAATAAAATTAGTGAATCCAATTGTCTGAGCTCCTTGCATTCCTTAAACTTCGGGGCAAAATTTTGAGCCCCCTAAATGAAGTTAATGAAAATTGATATGATATTTTTTTTAAGGAATTAGAATGCAAGAAAGAGTTGGTTTATATTTGGGAACCCAATCGAGAATTTCTATCAGAAAAAATTGGAGTTTTTTTTCTTTTTTTTCTTTTTCTATTTTTTTTTTTTTTTTTTTTTTAAAGAGTATGATTGCGGTAAAATGATAATCACCTTTTTTTTTTTTTTTTTTTTTTTTTTTTTTTTTTTTTTTTTTTTTTTTTAAGAGTATGATTGCGGTTAAAATGATTAATGGTGTTTTATCGTCTTCCCTCTCTCTGGCTCGCTTGTGCATTTTATCCAATCTGACATTCCCCTCTTTGAAGAGATATTTAGAGAAGCTGATTTTAGTACAGATTGGCTTGTAAGTTTTGCTTCTATTACTGGTTTAGGTATTCATATTCTCAATCGGTACTGGTGTCCTTCCTTGGTTAACACATGATGTTGCAGACATTGCCGTTCTAGATGGTGTAGTTCTTAGCTTATCTTCATCTTCTTATGTACCAAAAAAGTTATCTTCTAATAACTTTTTGAGTTGAGTCTTATTCTCCATCATTAATAGGCATAGAGTCTATGATCAAAATTTCATCAATTTTCCAGAGGCAGCCTTCCCTTGCCACAACTAGATCCTTTCAAGAAATTAAGTATTTCCCAGGTTCATATTGATTACATGATCAAAATTTTAACAGAAACTACATATGGATACTCTTAACATAACATGCTAACATTCTATTTTCTCTTTACAATAAAATTATGGCTCTAACCATTCCTTCATCAGTCAATCAGCTGTACAGCTGCAATGACAGGTATCTTATCTCTCAATTTTTGCGTCAAAGCGACACGGACTGTCATTACCCCGGCCGCAGGACCACTAAGCCGAACCTTGACAACATAATCATCAATTTGAACAAGTTCAAGTACTCCACCTCCTGTCCCAGAGAGGTATGGTCTAATCTCAGAAAGAACCTGAAAGTAACCAATTTGAGCTCTTCAGTTGGAGTTCCATATATCTTCCAGCACATACACATAAATAGTTCACAATCAATTCGGAATCAACACCAAAATTAGTTTCACTGTCAGAGTTTCTAATAACTCATAAGAAATGAAGAAAATGGCGACAGTGATGTTGAAAAACAAAGACGCAATTGACAATTTCATTCTACTTGTTAAACTTCCTATAAAAATGCTTGCTTTTTGCAGTCTGCTATTCTATTAAATGTTTCAAAGATAGCAGAGCTATGAGATGTTAAAGTTCTGAAACCAAAATGTATTAGGATCCATTTAGATAAATGGTCATTTGAAATGAAAACATATTTTGATTCAAGTTTCAAGTGTAGATTCATAAAAAAATACACATAATGTCAAATTCAAGTACCCAATCATTTGAAATAATAATTTTTCTATTTCTTCTCCTCCTAGTTGAATTTTAATTTTTTTTTTTATTAGTTTTATGACCAATAAAATTTTCTCTATTTATGCATAGCCTATTATGAATTTAGTATTCATAAGCTGAATTCCTGGTTCAGCCACTGGCAACATCAGTGAGTGAAGTGGACATTTGAAATTTAGCACATACTCTGGAGAAAATATCAAAACTTCAGATGCATTAGTTTGCTAAAACACCTCAAAACAAATGATTCTGTGATTATTCTTGTTGAATGTTTTCTCTAATCTCTACATCATAACTCAGAATGCAAGACCTTAATCATTCTAAAACTCCAATTGCATTTAGTAACAAGATAACTATAAACATGAAGCAGAAGAAATTTAAATATATGCAATGCCAAATGACTAAAGAAAAGCAAAACTGCTCCAACCTTTTCGACATTTTCCTCATTTAGCTCCAGTCCTGTTTCAGTGTCCATTATCTGCTCAACAGCCATGATTTCTGGTATTTTATCCCGCAAGCGAGTTTCAATACCCATTTTTAGTGTCATTGTAGAACTTGGACATGATCCACAAGCTCCTTCCAGCTTTAATACTACAACAAGGCCATCTATCTCATGTAAAACCACATTGCCACCATCAGCCATCAAACCAGGCCGCACCTCATCTAAAACCTTCTCCACATTCTCTTCAGTTAATGGAAGGACGCAACTTGGTGAAACCACAAGCCCTTCATATTAAATTATAAAGCACACAAAAATTGCAAACTCAATCAAATTTTCACATTCCAATTTCAATAAATAATATTGTTAGTATTACAGTTTCGCTATTTGGCTCATAGGAAAAATAAGGAAATAAAAACAGTATGTTTTATGCCTTGTGCTTTCATTTTTCTTTTTTTTTTTTTCGGTCCAGTAATATTGTTAAAGAATCCTACAACAGCTTAAATTCTGTGGAGTACTCTGTGTGCTTAACAATGTGTCAGCAATAAATCTTTTGTTTGAAACCTTCCAATTGCTTATCAAATCTTCTAATTCAGGTTTTCATTTCAAACATTCTTGAAATTAAACAAATGTTCAGTAAAACATGCAAATGGTCTCAGCTTAGACTCTATTTGGTTCACCTACTTGCTTTCGATGTTTTATTCCTGAGAAGTAATTTCCCAAAATTTTTATTCTCTAGGGAAAAATTGTAATTATAATATACTCTATCAATATATAAATTCGGTTTCACATGAGGGGGCAGGAGCAATTAAAACAAGAAATTCATTATGATTTCCAAAAATGTAAGGTTTTTTCTTTTCAGATACATCCATTTTGTGATTTAACCAAATATTGGCTTTTGTTTTCTGCTTGGAAATTAGCAAACACCACAAAATGCAAGCTAACGAAACCAAGCCTAGAAGATGAAATGAGGCAACAAATAAAGCAAAAAGCACAGCTGTAGAATTCCACCTGGAGTGACAGTCACCATTCCAAAAATCATGTAGTTCATATTTTTTGTTAATACCAAAAATGTTCCAACAGAAGTTGGAGCAGAGTTTCCTTATTTCCAACGAAACAACAATTCCTATCAGATTATTAGCTACCCAATAGAGAATAAGGAATGAACAAGTCTCTATCTAGACTAAAATACAATTTAATCATCTGGGGTTACAAAAAATAGACCAAGAAAAGCAATTACATAACAAATACCTGAAAATTTCCTTCTGTTAGGAGTCAGCTTGAAGGATAAAAAATGTCTGCTATGAAATTGTCCTCTAAGGAAATCACTCTGCCTTGAAGAAAAACCCACATGAGAATATAAACAACAATTCAAAATTACCAGTTAAAAGATCTTTCTCCACATTTACTAATGGAAAACCAATTAGAAAAGAGGTATACCTTGAAGAGTGGCAAGTAATACCGAGTTTTCTTAGATAAGCAAAAAGAAGGATTCAACATTGAGAATTGCTTGCAAAGCAGAAAGTTTTATTATACTCTATTTACTTATTATAACTAACGGTAATAAGCCCTTCCCATTTGTGTGTTCTCTCTAATACAGAAACGGCAACAATGCCAAATTGCAATGGATTTGTTAGTTCTTTTAGTATTTCTTTACAACGAATTGTTGTTTGTTTGATGAATTTGTTTTCTAGTTAATGTAGCAGTGAAAATGGAAGGAAGGAGTTGGGGATGTTTGATAGAGAAGCTTGATCAGTTAACAATGGTGGTGAATGGCTATGGAAAAAGAAAAAAAAACGTCAAGAGATTGTGCTGTGTGGACAGAATCCCTCACCTATTAACCTGGGAAAGGAATGAAGCCACGTTGGTTAGTTTCATTTCTTTTATATGTTTCTTTGTTTACGTGGGCTGCCCTGATTTTGAGTTCCAAGTTTTTGTCCGCTCAAAGGGCCCAACTTTAAAATGAAAAGAGATCTTGTAGTGAATGTCATTCAGTTTGAATTTGAAATTTAAATTAATATTATTTGCGTTATTCAATTACTATTTTGCCCTTTTCTTTTTTTTTTTTTATTTTAGGGAGCTACAAAACAAAATATTTCAGTATTTCTTTTTTTTTTTTTCAGTATTTTTGTTTGTTTCTCTCCTTTTGTGCTGCCGTTAATAGAATGATCTTTTTCGGTCTTTAAAATTATATTACGCTGCTATTACATTTTCTTATTCTTTTTTCTCTTTCACAATTGCGTTTTTTTGATTCACAAGGTTTCTTGATTTTGTTTTTTAATTATATTTTTCAGCTGTCGTTTCTTATTATAAATAATTTTTTTTGTTTTTATTCCATCATTTCAGCGATCGTATATCGTTGCTATTGTTGCGATAGTCATTGCCGTTTCTTTCTTGTACCCTTTTATTTTTTATTAGGGCGCTATAAAATAAAATATTTAGTGTTTCCTTGTCATTTCTCTCTTGTAAGGGTACTTTTGCTATTATTTTTTTGGCCAAAATTATTACTATCTTAATTTATATTTCTTTTGATATTTTGTAAAAATTGAAACCTCATATATGACATTTGTTAAATTGCCCCAATTGAAAATCCTACTCATAAATTTATACCACCTCATCCCAAAATTATAGTTTTCAAACAGTTTTAAATAAAATTTAGTTAAATTATAATTTCTTTTTTATTTTTCCATCTGTGCTTAAAGACTCTAAAAATTGTATATTAATAATTTCTTAAAACTTTTAAAATAGAATAAATATTTAGTATAGTAAGATTTCAAAAATCTTAGGACTATTTCTCTAGTAAATTCAACTAACATTAGTTGTTTACAAGAAGTATTATATAGGCTTTTGACAAAAATAATGCTCTTCAAAAACTATTTGCCAATTAATCTAATACCATGTAAAAACTATTTATTAATATAATGTTTGTCCTGATATGGAGAGAGAGAAAGAGCAATCCATACTGACAAGCAGTTAGCAAAAAGTAATTAATAAATAAACAAATCATTTTTATTTTGTGTTGACCAATCCAATTGGTGGTTGCAATACAGGAAAAAATTTTAAAATTTTAAATTGTCTTTTCACTAAAATATACAGTTCATTTTAACATGTCTTTTCTTTTCAATAATCCATATTGTGGTTTTAGTGCAAATATGAGATGTAACCATTAGTGAATAAGAAGTATATAGAAAAATAGTGCAAATATAAGATCTGACCATTAGTGAATAAAAAGTATATAGAAAAATAGTATTTTGTTAAGAGTCCACCAGGTTAACTAGTGGTTTTCATAAAAAAAAAAATATTTGTTTACTCAAAATATTTTTTTGTCAGTAGACGATATAGCTCAAGTCTCTTCCCTATGACGTATAACTATTATGAAGTTTGTCGCGCGAATATGCCTGGCAAATCATCTTTTGCACCATAACCTGAGTGGAATATATTATTTGCAGTGTTAGAAATCCCATCAAACACTCATTACACTCCAATGATGGCAACCCATCATACCTATATTTCTTTCTCTAAAATACATGAGGCAACGCCATTTCAATATACAGTACCTGCTTTCAATACTTCTGCAGTGTCTTTCAGCACACATGATGGATTTACATCTCATACTAGACACTCATTTAATGATGTCTTTGAGATGATGATAGTATTCGATCAACAGACTCATTTGACATTTCATAGCCCACAACAACCATCTATGAATGTGGTTCAACTCCTCGCGTGAGTGCCAATATAAATATTTAGCATGGAGAAGAATATCAAGACATTAAAGAATATACAGTTCGCCGAAACCCACGTCGTAATAGGAGGCCTCCAAGGTGTAGTACAGGAGGACATATGGGTAGACATTAATATGATTAATTTTACATTTATTAGTTATTAAGACATTTTTAACATAATACAAGTTCAACTCGAAGCATTTTATTACTCTTGATAATTTTTAACTGTGTAAGGAAACTTATATTGTTATTACTTAACTTGAAATAATTATGAACCAAAACCACCATATCATATTAGTGTTTTGGTGAAAAAATATTTATTTAATATTTTGAGTAAACAAATATTTTTTATTGAAATCACTAATTAACCTTGTGGAATCTTAACAAAATATTATTTTCTCATGTACTTTTTGCCCACTAGTAGTCATATCTCATATTTGCACTAAAACCACCAGATGTTTATTTAATATTTTGAGTAAACAAATATTTTTTATTGAAATCACTAATTAACCTTGTGGAATCTTAACAAAATATTATTTTCTCATGTACTTTTTGCCCACTAGTAGTCATATCTCATATTTGCACTAAAACCACCAGATGAATTGTGTGTTTTAGTGAAAAGACAATTTATAAATTTAAAATTTTTATTTTGTATTGAAACCACCAATTGGATTGGTATCTCAATACAAAATAAAAATTATTATTTATTCATATAATGACATTTTGCTTACTGTTTGTCGGTATTGAAATCACCAATTGATATGGTGCTTTTAGTGCAATAATCTCTCTCCATGGTAGGACAAACATTAAAGTTTTAAAATGCATTAGATTGGGAAATAGTTTTTTAAAGATCATTATTTTTGTCAAAAACCCTATTATATAAGGGTGTTGTGAAAAATAAAAAGAAAAAACATTTCTAAAAATATAAATGTAATATAAATGGGACTTTTATTCCGGAAAACTCAAAAAATATGTCAAATATTTTCACTTTTGAATACTTTTAACTCATAAAATTACACTTATTGAATAATTCAACTTAAAAATTTATATATAAATAGTTAAAATTGGATAATTTACATTATGACAAATTAATATAAAGTATCACAATTTATTGAATATATATCCGGTAATTGAAAAATATGTATTGTATATTTAGTTTCACTAATTGAAAGGTTTAATTAATGGGCGAACTTAAAAGTTGAAGAGCCGTTGGGGTAGGATTAAAATTTTGATTAAATCAACAGAATGAACCATTTTCCGTTTAGTTTTTAATACATATGGTTTAATTTAGTTCGATTTTCAAACCCGATTTAAACTGGCTAATTCAATTGTTTGAATCATGAATTGATTAATTTCTTGTTTGATTTTGATAAATACTTAAATATAGTCTATCTCGTTGGTTAACCAAGTACATCGATGGGGTTTTGACCAGAACCAAGCAAATTTAAGCGAGTTTGACTAGATCAACTCGAGTTAGATCTAATGCTTTGTTACATTTATTAATATATCAAATGATTTTAAAATTTCTTTTTGAAAGTTTTAATAAAAAGTATTTTAAAATTTCTTTTTAAAAAGTTTTAATCTTTACGATGCATGCAATGGATTGTGATAAGTGAAATGACAAGTTGAAGCATCGTAGTAGGTACCTTTAGACACTTGATGTTTAAGTTAGAAAGAGGAAACGGAGAGTTATAATGCAATAGGAGCTTGAACAATGTCTTTTTGACGTACGACGCATGGTCCTTTATATAGAGGCGTGAAGGACTCCTTTTAAGTTATTAATTAAGGGTATTTGACATCTACTGAGCTTCGATTAATTAGTAGTTCAAAATCTAGATTAAGCTTTTATTTCTTCTATTTCCTTGTTTTTGCAATTATGACAATTTTCTCAAATTATGCTATCTTTTGTGCCTTCTCCCTTTCTGAGCAGACATGGCCATGGTTCCGGAACTGCCAGTTCCAGTTCTGGAACCAAATCGTAAATTGACTGTTCCGGTTTCGGTTTGAAACTGAACGGTTCTGATTTCGGTTCCTTAAAAGTTCTAAAACAGACGATTACGGTCAGTTCTCCGACCGGTTCCGGTGAATCGCATAATTGTAAAATAAAAAAGTAGAGAATATTTTAAAAACGGTCGATTCTCGACCGGTTTTTTGGCAAATCGCATAATTGTAAAATAAAAAAGTAGAGAACATTTTGGAACCGGCTGGTTCTCTAACCGGTTCCAGTTTCGATTCTTGGAACCGTCGGTTCAAGGTTCCCAAAATGGTGGAATCGGAATCGAACCGTAAGCCATCGGTTCCAATTTTGATTCGGACTGATTTCGATTCTCACCAGTTCGGAACTGACGATTCCAGTTCCGAGAAGCGTAATTTGGCCACCCCTATTTCTGAGAATCTTTCCTTAGAGACTCGAAATACTAATAATGTTTCTCTCACTTATTGATATGGATTTTATTGCAAAAATGGTTCCTACATTTTGTGGTTGATGCAGCTTCCATAGGAACGTATGTTGTTCTTAATATAGTTTATGAAATTAAAGGCTATTTATTTTTTGCTAGGTTGCATAGACACGAATACGGAATATGAGACACAATAACTTTTGAAAAAGTACGATACCAATGCGCTTAAGACAAGCTACACCAAATAAGTATAATTTATTAATAATTTAAATAAGTAAATAATCATTTAAAATAAGTAATAAATATAAAAAATACTTAATTTTTTATTTAAAATAAGTAATTCGATTATAAAATACTTAAATTTTTTAATTGTCAAATTGCATTTAGATTTCGCAAGTGTAGAATCGATACACGTAATTATGTGAGTAAATCGCTCCCCCGAGTATTGTTATATCTATGCTTATCTCAATTCAGTTTATGTTTTTTATTCTTCTCATTTTTATTTTAACAACGATAATTGACGAGATTGTTTTTTCATTAATGTAATAACAAGAGTCAAGTAAAAATCTGCATGTTAAGAATTCAAGGATTGACACTTCTGGGGTTTTGATTTTCAACTTAATTCTTTCATTTATTATTTGTTCTTATCAATTTATTATTCAGTAGGGGAACACTCTAAATTCACTGTAAAACGTCTTCGTGCTTTGCTTTCGGTTTTTTAATTCATTTAATTTACCTATC